TCAGCCTCCCAAACAGCTGGGACTACAGGTACCCACCACAACACCTGGCTATTTTTAGAGATGAGGTCTTGCTTTGGATCAGGCTGGTCTCAAACCTATGAGATCAGGCTTTCCACCGTCTTGGCCTCCCAGGTGCTGGCATTATAGGCATAAGCCACTACACTGAGCTTTATAAATTTAGATACAATCAAATGTAGCACTCTTTTTTTTTTTTTTTTTAGAGACAGAGTCTCACTTTGTCACTTTTGGTAGAGTGCCGTGGCATCACAGCTCACAGCAACCTCCGGCTCTTGGGCTTAGGCGATTCTCCTAAGTGGCTGGGACTAAGGTGCCTCCTGAGTGGCTGGGACTACAGGTGCCCGCCACAAAGCCCAGCTGTTTTTTGTTGCAGTTTGGCCAGGGCTGGGTTCGAACCCGCCACTCTCGGTATATGGGACTGGCGCCCTACTCACTGAGCCGCAGGCACCACCCCCAAGTGTATCATTCTTTTCTTTTTATGGTTCTCTTGTCACATATTTAAAAAGGATTTTCTTTTCTTGCCATTTTCTGCTGCTTCTTATTCACTCTTGTCGCCTTCCACCCATTTAATTTCCATTGCCTCTCAAACTAACAACATTTATTTTATTTTATTTATTTATTTTTTTGCTGTTTTTGGCTGGGGCTGGGTTTGAACCCACCACCTCCAGTATATGGGGCCAAGGCCCTACTCCTTTGAGCCACAGGCGCTGCCCACAACATTTTGTTTTTGTTGATTTTGTTAGAACCAGGAGTCCTGGCTCGGCGCCTATAGCTCAACCGGCTAAGGCACCAGCCATGTACACCCAAGGTGGTGGGTTCAAATCCCCAGCCCGGACCCGCCAAACAACAATGACGGCTGCAACCAAAAAATAGCTGGGTGTTGTGGCGGGTGCCTGTGGTCCCAGCTGCTTGGGAGGCGGAGGCAGGAGACTCCCTTGAGCTCAGGAGTTGGAGGTTGCTGTGAGCTGTAATGCCATGGCACTCTGCCCAGGGGGACAGCTTGAGGCTCTGTCTCAAAAAAAAAAAAAAAGAACCAGGAGTCCTGGCTAGCTGAGGTGGGGCATGTCTGTGATCCTAGCACAGGAGTTCATAGACCAGCCTGGGCAACATAGTTGATCCCATCTCTATACCCCCAGGATGAGGCAAGAGGATCACATGAACCCAGGAGTTGAAAGCTGCAGTGAGCTATGATTGGTCCAGTGCAAACTCCAGCTTGGATGACAGTGCAAAACCCTGTCTCTCTCTCTTTCTCTCTCTTTTTTTTTTTTTTTGTAGAGACAGAGTCTCACTTTATTGCCCTTGGTAGAGTGCTGTAGCGTCACAGCTCACAGCAATCTCCAACTCCTGGGCTTAGGCGATTCTCTTAGCCTCCCAAGTAGCTGGGACTACAGGTGCCCGCCACAACTCCCGGCTATTTTTTTGTTGCAGTTTGACCGGGGCCGGGTTTGAACCCACCACCCACACTCAGCATATGGGGCCCTACTCACTGATCCACAGGTGCTGCCCTCTCTTTTTATTTGTATTGGAGACAGAGAGTCACCCTGGGTAGAGTGCTGTGGCATAGCTCACAGCAACCTTAAACTCCTGAGCTGAAGCAATTCATCCACCTTGGCCTCCCAGAGTGCTAGGATTTCAAGTCTGAGCCACTGCTCCCAGCCAAGGCCAAGAACCTATTTCTTAAAGAAGAAAGAAAAAAAGAACCAAGAATCCTGCCTTGTGGGCTGGGCAAGGTGGCTCATGCCTGAAATCCTAGCACTCTGGGAGGCCAAGGTGGGTGGATTGCTTGAGCTCACGGGTTCCAGACCAGCTTGAGACCCCTGTCTCTACTAAAAATAGAAAAACTAGGGAAAAACTGGGGTGCATGTAGCTCAGTGATTAGGGCATCGGCCACATGCTCTGGGACTAGTGGGTTCCAACCCATCCCGGGCCTACTAAACAAACAAAATAGCCAGGTGTTGTGGTGGGTGCCTGCAGTCCCAGCTACTTAGGAGGCTGAGGCAAGAGAATCACTTGAGCCCAAGAGTTTGAGGTTGCTGTGAGCTATGATGCCACAGTTCTCTACTGAGGGTAACAAAGTGAGACTGTCTCAATAAAATAAATAAATAAAATAAAAATAGAAAACCTGGGGTGGTGCCTGTGGCTCAGTGAGTAGGGTGTCAGCCCCATATACCAAGGGTGGTGAGTTCAGAACCAGCCCCAGCCAAACTGCAACAACAGCAACAGCAACAAAATAGAAAAACTGAGGCAAG